TTCACATGGAATACTTGTTGGGGAAGAAATGCTATCGTAAATTTCATTTCTCGTTATCCTGATGCTGAGCTCAGAACTGCTAAAAATGGGCAATATGTGAAAGTCTCTGGGGTATGTAACATAGCCAATGCTGATATAATATCTTATAGTTATACATCCTCTTGTTGGTTTATCTGCCTATTGATATTTATGACTATAGAAATTCTACTTTTAGTTTGCGCGTTTCTTCCCCGCCTTGGATCTCAAATAACATCACCAAGTAGTTGTTTTTCACTTTGTGCTTGTGTCCGTTCCACCTTACTTAAAACTTCGTTTAGAAGATTTACTTCTGTTTACCTTTAATTCATGTTGGTAAGTTTCACGTCACAGTAGTTGCCTATCTGTGTTTCCCCACTACTTTGAACAAAAACATGAAATCTTTTACTGAGAACTGAAATGGTGTGAGCAAAGGAAGAATAGATGAGAGGAGTTAATATGTATGCATAAAAGTGTGAAATGACAAAGTGCACGAACAGGTTGGACTTTATTTAAAATTTTAAAGTGGCATAGTGAAAACTGTGCAAAGAAACCTTGACATTTTGAAAAGTCTTTCTACTTTGACATTTGGATGCTTCTATTTAAAATATATTTCTGCACGTTAATCTGAAGATATCATGTAAATTGAGAGTTTTTTTTATAAATAAAAATAAAACATCTTTGTACTTTTTACATGTTTATATGTATGTTTATGCATATGTCATGCAGGACAGCCAAGAAATAAAACATTCAGTTTCTATCCCTAAAGTGGAATATTTAGGGTTCAGAGTTGGTGTCAAATGGAAAGTCTTTTATTGAAGTACCTAGTCTGAAGATGATAAAGAATAATGTTGTATCTCAGTCAGAATCCATGCATCAAAAAGGAAGGTTGAGCTTATTTGTAACAAAACTTCACAGTATTAAGCCATAACTTTCAAATTGTAACTAATCATAACCTTTTACTCAAACTCTAATAAACCAAAGCCAAAAACCCAGGATATCCTTTATAATAAAGTGGTGGCATGCCCCCTATCAAAACATTTAATTAGTAGCTGTGAAGTGCAAACATTTACCCAACCGAGCTAAAACCTTGCTGTTTCCCTAAGTTGAAATGAAAATCAGTAGACACTTCAACTCCAAAACTTCACAGTAATTAAAACTACCAAGTTATTTCCCTAAGTTGAAATAAATTTCAAACATAGTAATTAAAACTACCAAGGAGTACTCGAGGGTGCAAAAACTTTTCTATGAGTATCATGCTTAGCATTGGGCATATTCTCTTACAAGGTAGTGGCTGCTGCATCTGCATTTGCATATCAGAACTTTATTAGTGGTTGCTACATCTGCACTTGCATATCAGAACTTTATAAGAATAGAAGCATATGTGAATTAGAAAATATTCTATGAAAAATACCTTGAAAAGAGAGAACTTCTCATATGTGCTCTCAAACAGTGCTATAGAATCTATAGATTTGTTGTTACTCTGAACATTGCCTGGCTGGTATTTGTTGTGCAGTGGTTCATCACCTGTTGTCATTTACCTTTTTCTGCATAAATAGTATGCTGAAGTTTGGATGTTTTATGCTTTTGTAATTCTTGAAGGTGGTTACCTGTGGTAATGTGCCCCTTGAGTCATCCTTCCGGAGAGTTCCTAGATGCGTTTACACATCTACAAGTTTATATGAGTACCGAGGATGGGATTCAAAACCAGCAAACCCTACACATCGTCGATTTACGTGGGGACTTAGATCATCAGAGGTGAGTAAATGAGAAGTGACAAATTTCCTTTGAAATTATGTAACATGGATAATTGTATTGGAGAACCATACCCAATATGGATATGGATAACTTTTGAATACTCTGCAACAAGTATCTGATTATAAATAAATGGATTTTGATTTTGAAAATAATTTTGTTAACACTAAACTTTTTAAACTTTTGAGATGTATACAGTACTTGATACCCCTAAACACATTGTAGTTATTCACATTTTTTAAAGTCATAATTAGGCAGTTTTTGATAGTTTAAATAAAGAATTTGAGTTATTATTATAATGGTATGTATTAATATAGGAAGGGTTTGCACTCTTTTTATAAAATAAAAAAGATAGATGTACACCTTGCCCAATGACCAATGTGTAGATGGAAGGTCCATATTGTACTTCATTCTCTTCAAAATGATAGATTCATACTTATTGCTTAAAATGTGTGTTCATAACTTCTTTTTCATGCTTAATGGCCTTGTAATTTTATTAGGATTGTGATATGTTTTAGTCATTTTATCCTCACAGTTAGGGACCTTTTCTTTCCAAAAATAAAGAGAAAAAAAGAACCAAATTTAAAGGATATGCATGTAGGTGAACTGGATGGTTGCCTTTGCAATGTAGATACTGGACCTTTAGTTACATTTCCTGACTTCGAAGCCTCTTCTTAAAATCCTTTTTCTTTAAAAAAAGAAAAAGATTTCCTTCTCACATAAAATGTCTTAGTTAACAATTGGAGGGCCAATGTGGCAGTATCATGCCATGCTGTAACTTTTGAGGTGTAAGATTTTTAATGTTGAACTGTACTAATTTGTCTATGTTGCTTGACAGAGGCACATAGTGGACTTCTACATCTCTGATTTCCAGTCTGGGTTGAGAGCATTAGTTAAGACTGGCTATGGCGCAAGAGTTACTCCTTATGTTGATGAGTCCGTCATTATTGATGTTAACCCAGAAAACAAAGACATGTCTCCAGATTTTGTCAGGTGGTTGGGAGAGAGGAATCTTTCAAGTGATGACCGTACGATGCGATTGAAAGAAGGGTAGAAACCTGTTGCTTATTTAATTGTTAGGTTCTTATAAATATTCTTAATGAAAACTGTTTCCCCTTCTTTTGAGGGGGTTTTGGAAAATGCATGAATCAGTTGTATTACTGGTTTAATCCAAGTGCATCTTACATAACTGCAAGTGATGCCCTTGTGTAGGTACATCAAGGAAGGTAGCACAGTTAGTGTGATGGGAGTTGTCCAGAGAAATGACAATGTGCTTATGATTGTCCCTCCACCTGAGCCTTTGACAACTGGATGCCAATGGAGCAATTGTATTTTTCCGGCTAGCCTTGAGGGGGTTGTTTTGAGATGTGAAGACTCATCAAAAAATGATGTCATACCCGTTTAGTTGTTTGCGCTCCAGAAAACGTTTTCGGGTATATTGCTCTTTTGAAAAATATTTTGTTCCCAATGTCAAAATTGATGGTGGATGGCAGTGATGGTGTTGTAGTGATAAACAGTGATGAGCTTGATGGTTTAAGATGACGTGATTTTTTTTTCTCTCCTTGTGTATAGATTTTAGAAATTTCTTATCCATTGTTTTTCTTAGGGTTTGAAAGTTTCTGTAATGGTGTGGCTTCATGTAGTGGGAATTTTACCAGTTTGAGAAGACTATGTTATAAAGGAAAGTGTTATATATTCATCAGGTTTTTTTCTGTTGAAGTTCCCTTGCCTCTCTCTCTCTCTCTCTCTCTCTCTCTCTCTCTCCCTCTCTCTCTCTCAGAGCCATTTGCAACCTAAACAAAAAGCTTTAATTAAGAAGTTTCCAGCCTGGAGAAGGGAAAAGGTCTTGTTCTAATGCAATCTCTCACCAGAAAAATTAAATTTTGTGTAGTTTCTGGCCTAAAAAAAATGAAGGAACATGTGCAATCTCTCTTGAACTGCATGGGGGCAACTGGCCAGTTCATGATACTCTTTTTCCCTATTTTCGCGGATGCCAACTCACCCTTATATAAATCCAAGGATTACTTAGAGAGTTTGAGAATTCTTCCCAATATATAGAAGCAAGAAAATGTTCAACTTTCTTTCCACGCATTTAAGAGTCCTTGGTAATACTCTCAATTTGGTTTTCAGTATTTATTTTTAGTAAAAGATTTTTTTTTGGGGTCGAATTTTTAGTAAAAGATAGAGAAAATGCATGGGAGAAAATAGGGAGAAAAAAAGGTAGAAGGAAGGGGAGGAATGAATGAGGGATAAAATGTGTATGGAAAAAAAAAAAAAAAAACCAAAAACTAAAAGCAATTCTAAATAGTTTTCATTTAAGGTCGCCATTAGAGTTTTAACTAAAAATGAAAAGGCACATAGAAATGAAAGTGTTACCAAATAAGAGACTACTAGTATCAACAATGTAGCTGGTTTAGGAGCGAACTTTATGCAGACTCGTGTTTTTTTGCATTGCTGGTCGTAAGGTACAAATACACTTAATCGACGAGCAATGCAAAGAATACGAGTTCATATATGGTGCCAACTTGATCCTTTTTGGATGTTTCTTTTGAAATTTATTAGACATATTACGTTACCAAACTGCCAATTTGACAGATATACACATTACCGATCAATTAACGTGTAGAAGAAGGAAAAAAAACGAGTTTTCCTTCAATTATGCATCCGCTTGGTTTTCTATATATTTCTCTTGGAGTTTATTTGGAATATTACGTTACATGGAAAATTGATATCTTATCAAAATACGCTGTACATATTGATAGTTAAGCAACATAACATTTCATATTGACATTTCCCTATGAACATATCTTAACTAAGTTGACATGTACTCATTAATGATTCATTCTTACTTATCAACTCTAATCTCTGAAAAATTGACAATATTAATTTGTTATATAGAGATTGCATACAATTGAATTGTTCTCGTCCAACCTAACTTAGCATGTTGAGAGAAGGGACATGAGTGTGAGACCCAACATATCCGTGAGGTAAATTTTTTTTGATGATCCTGTGACCACTCACTAGTACTGTACATATAAATGACCAAAAGGGTCCAAAACAGACCAAAATATAAATATGATAAAAAGAAGAAAAGAAAAAAAAAACAAAATGAAAGCTATAGAGGAGAAATATGTCATTTTAATAGGAAATGTACAGTTTTATTTTATTTTATTTTTGAGGATATATATTGAGATGTACAGTGGAGTGTAGACTGTAAGACTGAGCTATATAATAATTCCTATATAAAATTTGTGTACCTTGGTACTAAAAGTAATCACATTTTTCTTCGAGTTCGGAGGTTTTGGCCGGACGAGACAACAACACCCACCAGTTGTTGCTTGCGCCTCTCTCAAGTCTCAAGTGAGAGAGAGACAGAGAGAGAGAAAAACAAACACAAACAAAAGAAGATTTTAGAGAGAGTCAGATTTTTCTTTTCGGTTCTATTTGTCTTTATCAGTCAAGCCATGATGTCTCCAAATCTCCAGATTTCAGCTCCTACTGCTTCTCCTTCAGGTATGTGAACAATTTCCTAATTGCCATTTGGTTCCTCCCCCTGCTTTTCTCTCTCAGTCAGCTACTCTTTGACTGTGATAGTTTTATTGTCAATATCTGCTTGTTTTCCTAGATCTTTTCGATTTTCTTACTGTTTGCGCCAATTGGTGATTTGGGTATGCTTTGTTTTCTTGATTTGGGCTGTAAGAGTGGCCATTTGGATGGTTGGTCCTTCAAGATGGTGTCATTTTGATGAAATTTTCCGTATACGGAAGGTTATACTGGCTCCTAAGTTCCTTCAAATCTGGGTTGCTCATGTTTCTTTGAGTTTGTCTGGTTTTTGAGAAAGTGGAGGTAGAGAAATCAAAACGACAAGTTTGAATTTTCTTTTTGTTGCATTGGGACTTGATATAGCTAAAAACCCCCCACTGAACTCTCACTTGAAATCTTTTCTTGTATTCTAGATCTTTTTCATGTCTTTGATTTATGTTCAAAATGTTAATGTGGGCATGCTTTGTTACTCTGTTTTGACCCTGAGGTATAAATTTAGTTTTCAAACCTTTCTAAAAATAGAAGATTCTGATACTTCCTTTTTCCTAATTTTGTAATTATTGTTTCTGACCTATTTCATGATTATTTTGTTTGAAATTGTTTTGAACAGATCCTGTAATTAATTCATTCGATCCATGATATTGTTCTTTTGAGTGTGGATGACGTTTCAAAATGATAATACTGCTTTCATTTTATAAATGTAAATGTGCATATGATTTTTGAACTGTAGATTCTTATATGAATCGACATATAAAATAGTCTCCGCTCAAACTCAACTAAGATACACTGAAACAGCTTTTGCTTGTTGTTTGACTTCATTTGCTTAATCTTCATAACAAGATGTTGTGCATGCGCAGCACATTCACATTCATACAGACAGAGATTGGTTTTGTTTCCTTGACTTCTATAATAACACTGTTTGGTTCCTTGAGTGGTTGGTGTTTTATAAGTGGCAGAAATCATATCCATATCTTCTAAACAAGATATTTCTTGTACATTCTCCGAAACCCCACTTTTCTATTATCTCTAGTGTTTTTAATAGATGACAATGGTTGTGAAGATTGTACAAGTAAATATAGATTGTCCAGAAGATGTCATGGGTGTTGACTATTTCAGTGGTGTATAAATTAGGTGTGCATTGTGATAAATTTGCCAGGACATACAAATAAAGTATATAATCTTTAGAAATGTTTTAGCTTTACTGGAAATCTAAGATGGCACTGCGTTTTAGTTCCTTTGTGACCTTTCTTTATTGGTCTGTGAAAAACTTTATTTTTCTCCAACTTACTACTAGTTCCCGAGCAATCTCTAATTCATTTATGTGTTACTATAGTGTGAGCGGCTGTAGCTGTGGGTTACTGTTTTGGTTTTTAGATAAGCAATGGGTTATATTCTAACTGTTGCAGTGCCTTTGTTTTTTACTAGGAGGATCACATCAGTGAATTCTATCCGCTAGTTGAGTTTATTGCTTAATATCTTGTGGGATCTTTCAAAGGAGCAAGATGGGTTCCAGATTCCCATCTCATCAGCTCAGCAATGGCCTTTACGTATCAGGCCGGCCAGAGCAACCAAAGGAAAGGACTCCAACTATGAGCTCAGTTGCCATGCCCTATACTGGTGGAGATATCAAGAAGTCGGGAGAACTAGGAAAGATGTTTGATATCCCTATGGATGGCTCTAAGTCTAGAAAATCTGGACCTATAACTGGTCCTCCTTCAAGGACTGGGTCTTTTGGAGGTGCTGCCTCACATTCAGGACCAATCCCTAATGCTGCAGTTCGTGCTGGCTATACTACATCAGGTCCCGTATCATCTGGAGGCATGCCTGGTCCAGCTTCCTTAAAGAAGTCAAATTCTGGACCGCTAAATAAGCATGGGGAACCTCTTAAGAAGTCGTCTGGTCCTCAATCTGGTGGGGTAACACCAACTGGCCGCCAAAACTCTGGACCTCTTCCTCCTGTTCTCCCTACAACAGGTCTCATTACATCTGGACCCATTTCTTCTGGCCCACTAAATGCTTCTGGGGCCCCTCGTAAGGTATCCGGTCCTTTGGAGTCAATGGGATCAATGAAAGTACAAGGTTCCTCCATTGTTCACAATCAGGCCATTACTACTCTTAGTCAAGATGACGAGTTTTCATTTAGGAAGAGCTTCCCAAAGCTAATTTTATGGTCTTTGATTCTACTTTTCGTGATGGGGTTCATAGCTGGTGGTTTTATTCTAGGTGCAGTCCACAATGCATATCTCCTCATTGTGGTTGTGATCCTTTTTGGTGCAGTTGCTACACTATTCACATGGAATACTTATTGGGGAAGACGAGCTATTATAGGTTATATTGCTAGCTATTCAGATTCTGAGCTGAGGACTGCGAAGAATGGGCAATTTGTGAAGGTCTCAGGGGTAAGTTAATCCGTTGATGGATTCGAACATATGGCTTATAATTGTTATTGAGATCTATGAAGGAGGGTGGGATGAAGATACACGAGGAATTTAAATGCTGGAAATACTATATCTCTATAACATTTATCTTCTAAACGGGTTAAGGACTTGAGTGTTTTTCCTTTTTGTTGAGCTTAGCTATTCTTATGTAAATGTTAATCAATAGTTTTCACAAGTTATATCTGGTTCTGTTTTTGAAGGTGGTCACTTGTGGCAATCTGCCCCTTGAGTCGTCCTTTCAAAAGGTTCCTAGATGTGTGTATACATCTACAAGTTTGTACGAGTATCGAGGATGGGATTCAAAAGCTGCCAACCCTACACATCGTCGCTTTACTTGGGGGCTCAGGTCCATAGAAGTGAGTAACTGAAAGTCAGCTTAATGTTTCATGGATAACATATAGTATTTCTCTTTCTGCTTTTCTTTCCTTCTTTTTATTAGGGCTGGGGTTGGGGTTTTCATAATTAACGAACTTAATTTTATTTCTCATTACTTTCAAAATATTTAAGATTTTGCCGTTGGCTAATTTTAATTCTAGTGCCTGGACAGTGCCATTGCCAATCCACCAGTTGCTATTTGAATTTTGTTAATATATTTGTTTCTGGTTTATTTGCCTTCCTGCCTTGAATGTTCTGTTGCTGGAAGGAGCTATTGCATGGTGATGCCAAGGGATGACTTTTATGGCTACCAGGCTTGAAAATTATTGGACTTTAGATTTCACACTTTTGACCAGAATTTCTAATTATGTCGTTTGACAGGGGCGTGTTGTAGATTTCTACATCTCTGATTTCCAATCTGGGTTAAGAGCATTGGTTAAGACTGGCTCTGGAGCGAGGGTGACTCCTTATGTTGATGATTCGATTGTCATTGATGTGAACCCTGAAAATGAAGAGTTGTCTCCAGAGTTTATTAGGTGGTTGGGAGAGAGGAACCTTTCAAGTGATGATCGCATGATGCGTTTGAAAGAAGGGTAATAGCTCTTTCTTACAATTAATTTATGTTGATGCCTTTTCTCTTATAATTATAAATGAAAAATGCTTCTATGAGTTTTTCCCTCATAATCTATCGTTTTTATAGTTGTTAAACATAAATGCCCCTTATAAGGAGTCTATAGTGTGCTCTCAAATATCTAGTCTTCCTGTTCTTAGGAAGTGTATACCTGGCAGTAGCAGTTTGTACTTTCTACTGATTTTAGCTTTTTCTCAGTTGAGGCATTAGCACGAAATTGGGTGGCCAATATGCGGATTTGGGTGGTTTGTTGGGTTGAAAAGTGCTCCAGCTCTCTAGCCACTCTTTCCCATGCAACCTAAAATTTTACCCTTAAGATAGTTGAGTCATCCAATGAATCCAGTACTAAACTTAAGTAAAGAAATACAAAATTAGATTTTTAAACACAAGAAAATGGGAATTTGACAGTATGTGATTAAATGACGACGGTTCTTGTCCCTGTCTATATGATGGTATGTATAAATTCAATTAGATTTGTGAAATTTTCCATACAAGCTGTTTGAATGTGATAGATGTAAAGTGATGTGGTTGTAGATCTAAACTGCCATGCCATATTTGCAGGTATATTAAAGAAGGAAGCACAGTTAGTGTAATGGGAGTTGTCCAGAGAAATGACAATGTGCTGATGATCGTTCCTCCCCCTGAGCCGATCACGACGGGATGCCAGTGGGCCAAATGTATCTTTCCAGCTAGCCTTGAGGGTATTGTTTTGAGATGTGATGAAGCATCAAAGAATGATGTCATACCAGTTTAGCAGTAAATTGAATTGCAGACTTATTTTAGGTATTGCTCTTTTGAGAGTATATTCTTTCCCTCTATTATTATTATTGATGATGTTGGTGATGGCGGTAGGAGTGAAGAAGTTGTGTTTGTAACAGATTAAGATAGGGGTGGTGGTGTTTATTCCTTTTAACATGGTGTATAGTTTTCCTGGGTTTCCTTTCCCTTTCTATTTTTCTTTTAGGGTTTGAAAGTTTTTGTAATGGGGTGGCTTGATGAATCAAGGGATTTACATGTTTAATCAGATTGAGTTAATGTGAAATAGAAAGAAAAAATAATTGAGTTATTTGTATATGATCTTTTCCAATGCTTCCATTGGTTTGCCCATCTCCGCGTACATGAGATTCATTGTTTATATTTTGGTTGCACACTTACACTTGAAAGCTCATAATCAGAATCCTTCGATTTGGTTCAGTTCTTGAACCAAAAAAAGTCGAAATCTCTCGAAACATAACCGTACTGATTAGATCCGGTTTAGTTCACGGTTCTTGACGTCATCACCTACCAAACTGCAAGAAAATAAATAAAACGGCGTGAGCCCAAACTGAATCGAACTGACCAAACTGAACTGTTCTTGAATTGGTTTAGGTTGGTTTAGTTTATATAACCATTTTTTGTGCGTTAAACGGATTGAATCATTCCCATTCCTAATAAAAACCAAACTGAACTGTTCTTGAATTGGTTTAGGTTGGTTTAGTTTATATAACCATTTTTTGTGCGTTAAACGGATTGAATCATTCCCATTCCTAATAAAAACCGATCATCAAATTTGAACATATACAAAGGAGAGAAAAAAGGGCTCGTTTGGGCCTGCTTCTCTACGAAGTACTTTTTCTAACAAAAATGCTTTTATTATAAAACTTTAAAATTTTCATAAGAAATTCAATTGATATTCTCCATTTAAAAATTATTAATTTTCTAATTTCGCTATTAAAAAAGAGTGGTGATTTCCCCACTCCAATTTTATTCACTTACACTCCATTTTATAACTAAAAAAGGAGTGTAAGTGGATAAAATTGTAGTAGGGAAATCTTTACCCTTAAAAAAAAGGTGATTTTTATATAATGATTTTCTATTAAGTTGCTTCACTACGAAACTAGAGGAAGGGACAAATTTGCTCCGACCCCGGGAAAATTGGTAATTGCAGAAAACCTGAGTCACTACAATAATCAGTGTCGGTGTTTCTCTCTCTGTGTCACCGTCACTCTCATCTTCCAATTGGGAGAGAAGATAAATGCGTAACCCAGCTGAGCTCTGCAACATTCACCTCTCTCTCTGACTTTACAACTACGATTCTTTCGTTCATTCATTCATATATGAGATGGTTAGGCCCTCTGCGAAGCACACATCGGCTCGCTTGGTGTTGATATGCGTTGGCCTACTGGGGCTTGCTCTGATTGCTGAGTTCCTCTGGGCTTCCTCGCCTCGTTTTGCTAATTCCTATATCTCCATTGCCTCCAATTGGGCTCCTCCCCTTGATATTTCAAAACCCAGTCTGATCCTCACACCCAAGAAGACTGACGATGAGGTACCCGAAAAGGTTTGCCTGGCTCTTTGTTATCATCTTGTCGAAATCTTGCGTTTTTATGTGAATTCTCATCTGGGTATTCGTTGGCTTGTGTCAAAACGCGGGAAAATGATAACTTTTTATTGTTTGATTGTTTTGTTGAAGCTCATTCGTGCTGATTTATGATTTTTCATGTGAATTTGATCTCAGTATTGTCTGATTTGTGAGTAAGTGTGCATTTTTAGTTTGTTTGGTTGCTATATTGAAGCTCATCTTTGCCGCTGAGTTTGTATGAATATTTTCGTTGCGGTCTTTTTTAGTGTGTTATTAAGTGCTCCGCAAAGGAATTGGTGCTTTCATTTCTGGATGTGAGAGTTGGTTGATCATTAAAGCTTATTGTTGGTAGTTGTACGTTGTGATTAGTGTTTCTGTGGATTTCAACACCCCCATTGTTGCAGGGTTTGTCTTTTGATGTGAATTCTTACCGGCATTGTTCTGTTTGTGAAACATGGTGGAAAATGAAAGAAAAAAAAAAGGTTTGCTAGGTTGCTTTGTTGAAATTCATCGTTGCTTATTTGATTAGTTTTTGCAGATTTCAAATTTGATTTTGTTGTGGGTGCTGAGAAGATGCCGTAGAAGAAAATGGATATCAGATTTGGGATATTAGTATATTCGGCATATTGAAAATTATGAAATTGCATGAACTGCTATTCTTTATTTTGAGCTTTTAGGATGCTTTTCCAGTTCCACTTGAAAATGCGGGGAAAAGAAAAGCAAAGTGAAGATTTTTATGAATTTGGGTTTCTGTTATTGGGCATATGAGTAAATTCTGTACCTATTAGAAAAACAATGGTCCTGTTATTGGAGCTTAATTCCATCCATCAATGGGTTAAGTAGAAGGAATTTCCACTTTTATGAAACCAATGTGTTGTCCTTTTACTTATCTTCTAGAACTTTTTCCTGTTATGTTAAATTATTGGCAAATAAAATTCTAACTGATCCTTGTTTCAGCTCTGAATATTGACCACTATTCTGTTACCTTTAGGGAAATCATAAAAATGATACTGCTCATGGGAGAGTTTTATCAGCAACTTTTGCTGATTTGCCTGGACCAGAATTAAAATGGGAAAATATGGCTGCCGCACCTGTAGCTCGCTTGGATGGGGCGGCTATACAGATAAAGAATCTTCTATTCGTGTTTGCTGGATACGGTACCATTGATTATGTGAGAACCTTGTATTGCTCCTTCACTAAATTATTCTTTTTATATTGTTATGCTAGCTATCTCTACTGAATTTTTCAGGCTATGTCCTTTTTTATTTATTAAAATGGTCTGTTGCTTATTTTTTAACATCCAAATTTTCATGATTTAGCACATTACTTTAACTTAACCCCGTTGAAATGACCACTGTATAGAGTGGTCTTACATTTTCTTGAGATCTTGTTTTAGTTGATGCTATGGGAATTCTATCTTTAATTTTTTTTTCGGGGAAATGAACTGATTTAATGTAGTCCCTTAACAAAATAAATTGTTGATGCTCCTGTGCAAATAACTTTTAAGATAAACAGCGAGCCATGGGCACTATTTTGTGGGTTATGGAACTTTTGAAAGTGAAGATTGACTAGTATGACGCACATGTACTCGATATGAATATTCGCACTGTATTATGTTATTAGTTACATTTGCTGAAGAAATTATAAAATAAAGACAAACAATGAAATCACGTAGAAACTAGAAATGGTTCTATATTTTTTTAGCACTAGGGGTTGGGGGAAGAATTTGTTAAAGTACAAACTGCTTCATGAGAGAGAAGGGTTTCTATTCTATAGACCATGCAGAGAATTGGAAAAGGATATCAAGATTTAGTAGAAGATGTTCGTGTTGCAAGTGGATTAGGAATTGCTAGGAGCAGCTATGAAGGAAAATTGAAGATTGTAGCACAAACTGCTCAGGGTAGTTCTTGTTCTTTAAATTTTTGGAATCCGGTAGTTAAAAAGTGAGATTAGATGGGTTGAAAAGGGTGTGTTTTTATGGGTTCTTACTTTGACTTAATTGTATCGAGTAGAACTGTGGTGTCTTTATGGGAATCTATGTCAAAGAGTTTTAGGATATTGCCTTTAGTTTAATTTATCTTGATTTTGTGGGTATTATGAAATAGTTGTAAATTTATTCTGTAATTTTCTGCATTGTCTTTTTTTATTATAGAGAGACACGTTATCACATATTTTTTACTCTATTTTTTCGAATTAGATTATAATGTTTACTACCAAAAAAAGAAGAAGAGGAAAATCACAAACTGCTTCATGACTGGTGACATCAATGAATTGGGCCTCAACTCAACTGCTGGGGATAGATCAGATCCTACCGCTTATGTGGAACTATGTTAAACATGTTTTATTATATTCACTCGTTCACCAAAACTGAAAAGATTCACCCTCCCTTCTTATGTTAATGGGCTGATATTGCCTTTAGTTTAATTTATCTTGATTTTGTGGGTGTTATGAAATAGTTGTCCGTAATTATCTGCATTGTCCTTTTGTTTTTTTTTTTTAAATTTTAAAATAAACAACTTATAGAGAGACACTTTATCACATATTTTTTTGAACTAGATTTTAATGTTTACTACCAAAAAAAAGGGGGAAATCACGAACTGCTTCATGACTGGTGACATCAATGAATTGGGCCTCAACTCAACTACTGGGGATAGATCAGATCCTACTGCTTATGTGGAACTGTGATAAACATGTTTTATTATATTCACTCGTTCACCAAAACTGAAAAGATTCACCCTCCCTTCTTATGTTAATGGGCTTTCCTTTCTGTTTATTGTTTACTTTAGGTACATTCACATGTTGATATCTACAATTTCAGTGATAATACATGGGGAGGAAGATTTGATATGCCAAAAGAAATGGCACATTCACATCTGGGAATGGTAACTGATGGAAGGTACATATACATTGTCACAGGACAGTATGGGCCACAGTGCAGAGGGCCCACTGCCCACACATTCGTGCTTGATACTGAGACAAAGCAGTGGCGGGACATGCCTCCTTTACCAGTTCCTAGGTTTGTTTCTTCCTTAATAAGATTGAATAGAATGAAGTGTACGATTCTGTTAAATGCTGTGTGATACTGAAATCGAGCACTGTGTATTCCTGAATTGTGCTGCGTGCATACACATGTTTGTGAATGAGTGTCATTTATACCATGGCTTTATGTGATTTTGCTCTTATTTAATACCACCTGATTTCATTGTAGGATATCTGTTTATATATGTATATATGTATATATATTATAGATGTATGTATGTATTTGTATGTGCGCATGTGTATATAGGGGTAGTGTAGCTGAGCCCAGATGCCGGGATTAAGGCTTTGTTGAGTTGTAGCCTTTGTTTGCTGGTTTCTACTTAGCTCATGGGAACTTTTTGTACTGATGGTGTGAACTGGAAAATCAATTTGTTAGTGTAAGATTTCATTAGTAAGTATTTGTAGTCCAAAACAAATCATATAATTTTTCTTCTGTAGTTCACACGTAGATTGAATGGTTTTAACTCAGTAATTTTCAGGTATGCACCAGCAACTCAACTTTGGAGAGGTAGACTTCATGTAATGGGTGGTAGCAAGGAGAATCGATATACACCTGGAGTAGATCATTGGAGTCTTGCTGTTAAAGATGGAAAAGCATTAGAAAAGGAATGGAGGACTGAAATGCCTATTCCCAGGGGTGGACCTCATAGGTATGTCCACTGTCTTATTCTTGCTGCGTTTATGTAACTAAGCATTTCATCATGGGAGATCTTGGTGGAATTCCCGCATATGAAATTGAGTACAATTTTGCATTCATTGGCCTTGAAAGTGATCACATAAAATTAAATCATAAATTTTGAAGTTCTTTTTACCAATAACCATTGTTGAAAGTTCTAATTCTCTCTTCTTGATTATTTTCTAGGTCCATATTTCTTTTTGTGATCTATCAATTCCAGATTCTTTCTTATATGTAGCAATGAGAATAATCCTCTTTGGTGTCTAGGGCAATAACATAAGGACAATGGTATACACTCCCTGCTTAGAATGTTTATAGAGCTAGCTTCAGAACTTGGGGTTCTGGTGTAAGCTTATTGATGTTCAAATTTTGATGATGGAATTACTTGATCTCCATCAGACCTGAAGAGAATAAACAGAGTAACTTCTCTAGAATTTTGTTATCAAAAGGTCTTTGGTCTCCTCGTAGCATTTTCACTCTGAGTTACAAAATTCTGCTCAGAGAATCTAGAGTTAGTTGATAGAGGGAGAAGAGAAAGGGCTTCTTGTTATTTGATATTCCCAAGGGATGTAAATTGGCTCCCAACTCCCCCTGGAGCGGTAAATACAAGTGAAACATGACAACTAGTGGAATAATTACTTTATTATTTGTACTGCCTTGGGTGGTCCTTCCTGAGAAAATAATTATTGGTTTTAAGACCTCTTTCCTGAACCCTCCCACTGATTATTTTTAAGGGGCATGGCCCTATGAGCTATAATGTGACCTTTTATTTGCCAATTGCAAGCTAGATTTGTCTATGGTAATCCCATCAACTAAATCTTAACAATGTTCTACTGTAATTGGTATCTTTTTGTAGGGCTTGTATAGTTGTTGATGATCGTCTTTATCTTATTGGTGGTCAAGAGGGTGATTTCATGGCCAAACCTGGATCACCTATTTTCAAGTGCTCTCGCAGGAATGAGGTAAGAATTTCATATATTTATTATTCTTTTGTTGGATCAGTTATGTCTGAGTTTTGTTAATAATAACCAGATGGTTATGTCAGTTTCTTTTGGTTCTAGGCTATCATAGATTCTTCTTGATGTATTACATCATCCTCAGTTGTACATATGAAAAAGAATCAATGATGGATCTTTTTTAGGCTTTTAATACACACACAGTTACACCTATTTTACTCACTCAGTTAGAAACATGCACTGTTTCTAAAGGAACCAGTCAATTACTTACTGGAAGCTTCAGAGCCCTACACAAACATAGAATGAATTTAGCAAACAAATCCAAGAAACCAAAGTTCAAATCTGGACTTGTCCTCTAGAATAAATTTCATTTTGTATTTTATGATTGTTTCAGGTTGTATATGGTGATGTTTACATGCTAGATGACGAAATGAAGTGGAAAGTGTTACCTCCCATGCCTAAACCAGATTCCCATATCGAATTTGCTTGGGTTGTTGTTAACAATTCTGTTGTTATTGTTGGAGGCACAACAGAGAAGCACCCTGTAACTAAGAAGATGACTTTGGTTGGAGAAATATTCCAGTTTAACTTGAATACACTGGTATTGACGCTCACCTCTATATGCTTTTAAAGATAAAGTACATGTGCCTTAATTGTTTTGTTTACACACAAACAAATGAACAAAAAACCACACAAACAGTGAGGCAATCATTGTTGTTATGTAGGTTAAGGTATCACAATGCCTTAAGCTGGAGTCAAGATTGCCCTTGATCTTGAGTGTTATTTTATTTATCTCCATTGATTAGATTGTGGATAGAGTTCACTGCAGTGGGTTCACAATTATTCTCATATGCAGTTACCATCTTGTCTTTCTTGTGGTGACAAGAGAGACCATCTTTTTGATGACTAGGCTTGTTGTTGTGGACTTACAGCAGCACTCCGAAACTATCCATGGAATGTGTGAATTTAAAGAAATCTAACTCCTGCATTTACATCAGTTGCTACAAACAAGCTATAGCCCAGATAATGGGTCATAAGTTTGTTTGCTGTTATCGAAATCTCTTCAATTTTGTCTAATTCATAATGTTTCTTATTACCCCTGCCCTCTTTACCCTAGTGGTGCCTATGTGCTACAATGTTGGTTTCTACTCTTAATTTCTGATTTTTGTTACAGAACTGGTCAGTTCTTGGGAAACTGCCATTTCGAGTTAAAACCACCCTAGTTGGCTTCTGGAATGGGTGGTTGTATTTTACATCAGGGCAGCGAGACAAAGGACCAGAGAATCCAGCACCAAAGAAGGTCATCGGAGAGTTGCGGAGAACGAAGTTAAAATTGAGCTCGTGATTGGTTCATGCTGGTTCTTTTGTAGGATTGTTTTCTGCCAGTACAACCATTCGTCATCTGGTAACAAACGCAAATTCAAATCTAATTGTGTTTTTTAGAAAATTTAATTATTTATTTTCTGGATTAGAAATACTTCTTCCCTACTGCAGTGGGAATGAAATGGAAAAATCACCTACTTAGAGAAAATCTTGTGGACAGATTCTATTGCTGTAATTCTCATTGTTGTGGACATATATAGCCTGGTTATGTAACCTTGTATTGTATATCAACTCGAGTTTATCAAAAAATTTCATTCATCTGAATTATCAATGTACAACATGTTGATGATAAGTTCAAATCAATTCATTTATTTCTTCTTCTTTTAAGATGCAAATCAAGACGTTGTTGTTAATGAGCGTAAACAGGAAGCAGCCTGGTCATGTTGTCTTTCTTTGCAGCAACAGCTGTTTGAATCTTGTATTGGTTTTCACAAGGAATTGTAAATGGGGTGTCTTACGTATTCTTATGGACTTTGGCTTTGCAGGCTATTATTGCTTGCAAAAGGGTTGAGGTCGAGATTGAAGATTTTAAACTCTCACCCAATTGTAAGCAAATGAAAAAGTATTTAGATGAGTTTTATAGTTGACATTATTCTTTCTTTAATCGAATTTTTATGCGTTTAATCTGTTAAAAGTAACTAATAATATGGTGTTTCTCTTTTAGAAAAACCTAACAAAGTGTGAGAAATATTACCCAAAACTATACCTGCAAGGTAAATACTCATTTACCTCTAGGCCTCTCATGCTTCTCTTATAAAGCTTATTGTGATCTTTTATGGTCCCACGTAAAAATTAAATTCAATCCCACAATCAACTTATTCTAGTGACATTATTGGTCCTAAGATATAAATACCTCTGTTTTTTTTTTTGGTCATATACATACCTTCAAGTTGTTGGTTTGCTTTCCAAGAAAAAATACAGAACAAACGACAAAATGATGTTGGCTAGGTTGCCACTGAATATGACACACCCTTAAAAAGAAAGGCACTTAAAACTACTCCATCGATTTAGAGTATTTACCCCTACACCCGAGGTCCTACGTTTAATTCACCCTCCCATAATATCGCTTGTATAAAAAATAATAATAATAAAAGAACTATTGCATGGATTGGGGCATTGCCATTTTTCTCATTAACATATATGATGCAGATTCCTCATTGACTAGAACGATGCAGAATCGACTCGAAATGCAAATGTAGTTAGAAATAAGCTCTCCAAACCCCATGGATAATAACAACGCATGAAAATCCATTTAGTCAGAGAATCTCAATTCTAATTTTTTTTTTTCTTTCTTGTCTTTTCTCGTAGAAGAGATAATCTCAATTCAAAAGAGACGTACAGAGCAAGTTATGAGCTACTATGTACAAGACATGGTGTACTGGAATGGCAAGTAACTAACCAAATGATGACGATGCTTTTGGAAAGGAGGCTTTGTTTGTACGTATGCACGTACCTCAACTGTTTACATAGATTGGAGAACGTGATCAAATATGATTGCAAGTTTTCGATTGTTGGGGGCTTCCTAAAGTAGCCATCAGCTTCAGCAGCAACAAAGGCTGGCTATGTGAACGCGTTAGTGACCAACTCACCAGTCGAAAAAAGTCTCCTTTCCTTTCTATAATTAAAGCATCTTCATCTTTTGTACCAATGATATATTCATTCCTCCTTACAGCTGGAGCACAAGCTCCACAAGGACGAGCTCTCCATCAAACCTCAGCCCAGCAGGGTCAGCAGGCTGAAGTACGCCATCCACCATTCCACCAAACACAAACAAGTAACGCCCGGAGTTATCTGTGCAGGCACGATGGAATGACCGGCATTTGGGTTTGTAACCGTTTGCCTTCAACCTTTTCCACATTTTTGCCAATAACTGCACAGAGTTGAGTGTAGTTGGCTGCATTGTAATGGATGGAACTGCACTTATGTCTAAAACCCAGAAGTCATTCTTCCGGTGTCTGTACGAGTCCTCTCCCCCACCAATCAGCAAATGGCCTCCTAAGATGAGGGTAGCTGAGTGACCAACTCTCGGGAGGGAAACTCCTCCAGGAACATTTTGTAATTCATAGAGTATTTGTACCCATTTAGGCTGGCCTTCATGAATATCCAAGAACCAGACATCATGAAGCACATCATAGCCCAATCCTCTCCCTCCAAATAAAACTGTTCGGGTTCCCCGAATGCAAGTCAATGTGTGTCCTGAGCGAGCTGGCGGACATGGATGAGCCACAATTTCATACCAAGTTCCAAATCGAAAGTTTTCAGAGAGTTCCAACACCCATGTATCACCCAACCTGACACCATGCAGCCCAATTCCTCCATGGATAACCATCTTTCTGCCATCAATGCAGCATGCAGCATGAGCCCCGCGCTGCGAAGGTGCATCGGGCCCCACGACAAGCAGCCTCCATGACAGTGTGATACCAAGGGTCTCATGGCATGCTACTTTCCCCACCCATGTATCGTTGTGACGGATTCCATTGTCATTTATTCCTCCAAATAGAACAAGAAAATCATCAATAACAACACATGAATGCCCAAATCTGCCACTTGGAATGCCTGAATTGATCTTCTGCCACTTCAACATTCTCCGAAAATCGTTACCAATGCATGCCACCCATGTGTCATCTAGATGGCGTCCTAAAAAATAATAAACAACAGAAACAGAATGGTTGGTTATTAAAATAAAAGTACCAGACAAGAAACACAAGCATGCTCCAAGGACAATTGAGAAGACAATTTTAAGATGGTTAGTTGTTGTATAATTCTATCATACTCATACAGTAATCTTGCACGGCTCAATAAATTTTTATAGGAGTGACTAGCTTGTACTGATATAACTTCAACTTCTGATAAATGAAACCAAATTAATCTACTTTATTCAGACTCAATGGTGTCCAGATTATTATTGTTTTCTCACAGTTTGATGAAAAAAACCATAGGCAAAGTTCGACAAAAGGGATAGATTATACCTGCTGAAGTTTGCAAGAGCCTTTGAGAAAAGAATAGAAAAACTTAGTTATTAACTGACTAAAAAGAAGACAGCACCTTGTTGTGCAGCTGAAGAACTATGTTTTTTAGTCTTCTTTTTTGGGTGGTTACGAGTACAAGTAGATTCTCAGAGTTCATAGGATTACTACACTCCTAAATGGATACAGCACGTCTTAGAGTTCTGCCTTTTGTGAACACACATTCATTCATTCATGAATTAGATTAAACAGTGGCATGGTGCAGATTATAGAACGGCAAATGTTTTACAAATTATGTAAATATAACTTCAAACATCTACTCAGTCAGCCAACACCTGCGAGCAAAGGTTTAAAGGCTAAATTTAGAAGGAAACAGAGTTCAAAACAAGTCTAGGCATGCTAAGTAACAAAGCAACTGGTGTAAATGGAGACTATCCTTATGTATAGCTATTTGACCATGCCCTTCTCGACTGAGATAGAGGGGCCTAGTTTCAAACTATAAGACTAATGTTAACTAATGATATGAAGAGAAATAGGAAAGAAAAGCCTCAAACCTAGTGATCCTACAGGTCTTATATCAACTTCTGCTGTTTAAATGTGACAAGTAATTACTGAATATGAAAGAAGGCACTTCTATTTGGCATGAGAATTGGCAATTAAGGGACCGTTTGTGCAATATTGTGGTAAATAGTATACAATTTCCATAATTTCTAAATTTCTGTAGTAATTCGAAATGGAAATATGAATTTACCACTGGCAAGACTGGACCAACCGGTACACATCCAACTATCTACGTGCGACCTGATTCCAGGGGAGGGTATGGCTGACTCTCTTTCTTAGTAACCATGATAAAATTGGAACTAAATACAATTTGGAGCTGGTGTTCAGTTATAGAAAGGTGGCCTCAAGTATCTTGAGTTGTAGTTTAAATCGTTTCTAAAACAATTTCATTGCCTGCTTACAAGTTTGAAAGAGGTTATCTACAGGAAAAAAAAAGACACTTGAATGGGGTTTTATAGCCTGCATAGATTAAACTTTCTGAATATCAGAACTGAAACCGCAAGTCATTTATTCTCAGCACGTTCTTCTAATATTCTGCAGTTCTGCAGATTAAGAGGAACACTAGAGTTGTAAGCATAAGTCTGAATCTTGAGAAGCTGGGCATCAACTCTAGTACTACCTAACCTCTCTGATCAATGGAAAAAATGTTCTTCCAAGTTCCATCATTTACTCGATCAAACCAAGAACTGACAACAACAACAAAATCAAAAAATTTGATCTTTCAAGATTAGAATTCAGGAGGAGGAGCAGAGGGATGGGGTTTAGAAGTTGAGCAGGTTGCCAACTATTCGTTAGACCATTTTGTCTTTAATGCAGAGAGAGAGAGACCTTCATTATCTGGTCAGGTTCAGGTTGGTCAGACTTCTAAAAAGCTTATTCCTACATGCAAGGCAAGATATGAAGCATTATTGTCATGGTGGTCCTTTTCTCATCATAGAGTTTCCCTATAATTTTGTTATAAAAACAATTAGACATTTTGTCAATGCTCACAACATCTCTACTGAATTTACAAAGTTCAGTAAGCCTCCAAAACCAAAGAGACCCAGTAGAAATGATGTGGAACAAGTAGGAGGGGGCATGAAAAACTAGAAGACTCCATGCCCTATTCAGATACATAAACTACTTATGAACATATATTTTATGAGAGGTTCTATATTGTTTATAAAAATGCATGTGGAATGACTTTCATCTAGCCAATGGATTATAAAGTTCAATAAAATATAAAGTTGTGATGGTGAAATCTCAAGCAGTATAATTTTTTAAACCAAAACACCAGGAAGACATCTCAGAAGCACCATTAAATAAATAAAATGAACAACCAATCATCAAAACACAGAACATGAGATTTTTCATCATGAAACATAAACAAATAAACCAGAAGCACGAACAAAAGAAAAGTAGAGCTGGGATAATTTTCAACAAGATTAACTGACTGACCTCCCTCACTGCCACCACCAAACAAAACCAAGCAATCAGACACGAAATTGAGAGAATGAGAGGCCCTGGGACTTGGAAACACCAATTCCCCTTCTGGGTTAGGCAATTTATGGCAATAAACAGAGTCCAAGCGAGAGACTTGCTTGTAGAGCCTCATCCAAGGCAGCTGATGATGAAAATTTGAAGCCTTGAGGGCCTCAACTGATTTGGGACCCCAGTCCCTTCTGCATATGGACTCCCACAGAGTGTCAGAGGCTGTCAAAGCTCTAAACTTCTTGCAGGCCATGGCAAAGCAAAGAATTGAATCTACAGGAAGAAGCAACAAGATTGTAACGAGGTGGTCTTGGGCTATGTTGGAAAGTGGTGAGCCCCCATTGGTGTTATTGAAACTGTTGCTACTGCTAGTACTGGTTTCTGCCATTGAAAAAGCTATGTTTGTCTTCTTGTAGTAGGTTGTTGGGGATTTATGGCTGTGATTCTTGGGTAAGTGAGGTATTATTGGGCAGAGGGTAGAGAGCTCCAAAACTGGGTTGGTTTGATTTGTTCAGATTGTTCATGGCAAAGGAAAGGTAAATGAGTTTCTGTTTCTTTTTTCCTTTTCTTTCTTTTCATTGTTGATTTAGAAGAAGATGGTAAATTTTCATTTTGGAAAGAAAATGGTGGACTGTAGTACCTGTTGTTTTTTGTCTTGTTTATGAAATTATTAGCTTTTCACTCCAACAACTTGGTTCATTTTCTACGGTTGTTCCTGTGAGTAAACTTTAAATTTAACCAAAAACTAAAGTTATGACTTATAAGACAAACATATCTCAATCCAAGTCTCTTTCTTCCTTCTTCTCTCCACAGTCCACACTCTCTCTCGTTTCTCTGTACGGACGGTGAACCAAAGGGAAAGCTCACAAATGGCAGCACCAAGAAAAAACTGGTCGGGTCTAGGGTGCACACAACAGCGGTGCAGCATCAAATTTAAAATGAGCATAGCACACCATAAACATGACGTATGTCACGCATGATATGGTGATTTATCTATGAGTGATAAACTAGTTTTTCATCTAGTAATATTTATCGTGTCATGCTTTGGCATGTCTAAATATATGAAGCATCACTACATATTTCTCCCATGAAGCTCAAATAGGTCCTCCATATTTCCTTTTATAATTGTAATTGGTAAATGCTTCGTGCATGTAGATAACAAGGGATGCTTTATTCTTCTGGTAGAGAAATCAAGGTGCTTTAGAGCATTCACAATGGGTTTCCTAAACCATCTCATTAGACAAATTTTAGGGAGGAATTGGAAAAATATAACACCAATCATGCTCTCTATCCACCTCCTAAAATAAGGAGACTTCTAGGAGCTTCTAAATGTGAGGAAAGAGAAAGGACTCCTAGTGGCTCCCTATAATTAATGTTGCTTTATTTAATGAATATTTCAAACCTTTAATTAATGCTAACTATTTTTTAATAGAGATGGACCAATTAAAAGAGTTATAGCATTTATGATTCTCTAAATTAGAGAGCATGATTGGAGTTTAAATTTTATAAAGAACTCCTAAAATAACGTTGATATGTTTTCAACTAAAATTTAACAAAAAAAATTAGAGAGCATTATTATGATGCTCTTATTACTCAAACCTCGTACGGACCATTGAAAGTAGGTGAACTTACTATGGAGAGCTACCCAACATGGAAAATTCCCCAGTTAGTAATTTCATGTGGGGCTTTGCATTTAAGAAAGAATAGGATAATAAAGGCCCGAGGCTACCTTCTAGAAATTTGACTAAGCATGAAGCTGCTGCCAGGCACAAGCCGCAAGGTCATGGAATTTTGGTGCCACTGCCACGTAAGAAGGTATAGTCATCGTTAAGGATGTAACATGATGAAGTGGACTAATCCAATCCACTGATCTAATAGGTGGCATAGTTTTGACCCTTGGATGGAAAATTTGTCATCCTCAAGGGATTGAATAGACAGATGAAAAGCTCCAAAATTTTGGTAAATCCACGGCACACTATCCATAATACAGGTCTTCAAGACATATCCACAACATTAACAAGATGAGACCAGAAAAGTCTAATGTCTTCCCTCCCTTGTGAGTCCAAAGGATGTTTTGTATTTATATCAAAAAGACAATTAGAAACTCAGATGCTTTTTTTTTTTTACCTCTCAGTAACTCCCAGAGTGAGAATAAATAATGCATTGTAAAAAAAAAACCCATTTTAGCTCATACGAAACAAAATTTACCAACATGATAATGTTCTCTCATTTTCTTCATATAATGGTGCTATTATTACAGTTCCTATAGGTTAACAGCATTATATGTAAGTTGACAAAACGGATGTGGTCATCGTTCTCAATTTGAAATTTGAAAGGACTGCGACTTGTTTTACAGTCACCAACCATCCACGCTTATCCATTCTCATTCTCTCTCATAAGGCAGAAAGGCAAATGCATTATAAGGCAATGCCTGTCTTTTACTTTTATAACTTAAATACTCGGCCTTTGTTTATAAGTTTCCTAAGAGCAGCCTTGGCTTCCTCTAACGTCTCGACAGAATGGCCTTCGTCAAATGATATCCTCTGTATGTTGAACTGCAATAACCAAAAGACAGTTTTTTACAATCATGAGAAAGGAGTATAAGAAACAAGATAACATAAGAAATTCAGAAGGTTGTCACTTTAAAAAACTTACCTGTGCACCCTGACGGACCCGAACATCAGTTCCTTTGCTGTCTATGGATATGAGAGCAGCATCATCGACCTCAGATTCAGCAGACAAAAGCTCTTTCAGGGGCTTCGAAAAGATTGCATTAAGTTCCTAAATGTATAGAGAGTTAAAAATGGTTAAGTCCACCAAAGCCCCAAACTGTGCATATTAAAAGTGAGATGCAAATTTGCAAAATCTACAAGCGGAAAACAAGAGACCCATACAAACAGATAAATACTACAAGATGGCATAAAGATTAATGGACGAGACCAGCATTCTATGAGTTGACCAAGATCTATCAAGGGCATATACAAAGCACTAAAGAAATGTCCCTTACAGCCTTACCTGCAAATTAGTTCCCCTCTTGGTCTTCCATTTCAAACTGATTTTTTCAATAGGATATTTCGAAATAATAATGATAATATAATAATAATAATAACAATAATAATAATAATCAGAGCACCCACCTTCAGGTTCTGCTCCCCTCCATCAACTGCAATCTTATCAGGCTGAACGGCCTCATATTCTTTGACGTCAACCCAAGCAACAGTGCCAAATCCACCAATGAAATATATGTCACTGGTAGCAAGAAATAAACAATATAAGTTCCAGCATGGAATAAAGACATTGAATAAACAACAGTTTTAAATTTTATGAAAAAATGCAGAGACTGCACTGGCCATGTGGCAACATCAGAAATTTGTGCCCAGAAATACAAGCCGGAATACTTTTACATACACTTTTCCCCATAGCAAGGCTGTGACTCCACTATATCGATATTACTTTAACCCGAATATAGTTCGCTAGTATTTTTCACAATGCATCACCTAATTCATCTTTACGAATAAATTAACTTTTCAATATTCTGCCCAAAAAGTTCCATTTTGTAAGAACAATCAATAGAGAAAGGCAATACGCAGAAACATGGAATCTACCTAGTGGTTCATAGTCAACACCTTAACCACCTAATAAGAAAGATGACCTAGCCCCTGTTGAAAATGGACTAAAGCTTTAAAGAGGCCCTTGACAAAAGGATTACATTTTCAGAAGTCCATAAAAGGTTCACAATCCCAAAATCGGTTTTTGCAAGTTAAAGAATATTAAATGTACAATGTAAATGTAAAATTCAACTTAATAGTTCATAAGAGCCTAACAGTCAAAATGCAATTACAGACGCAATGCAAAGAACAGAACCTGAAACACAAGAGAGCTTTTCTAATCATAAAATAAGCACAAACTGCACAAATTACTCAAGGCAAAACTAACATCCAACCTTATGTTCTGCATCCTGAAGTAGTAGAAGTTTCCCCATTGTTGAGAAGGCCCCTGTTGATGTTTTGCTATGTATTGTTTATGAGCCCATTCCTACAAACACAGCCAAATACAATAAATCTACTGCTAGAAAAACCCTTCTCTATTGTCTACCATACACGTATTTAAGCTAAACATGCAGTAGCAACAGCTGCAAGTTAAATACTATTCTTAAAAACTCAAGCTATTCCTGACCAGATTCATATGGTCGCCTGCCATCCAACCATACAATTAACCCAATGAAACACGAATTGACCCTAAATATGAGCTTGAAGAAACAAATACCTACTTTTTAACTATTATCTTCAAAATCAATCATTTCATATTTTCTTAAATGAGAAAATAAAATTATGAAACAAGATCCATATCTTAAAATTTCAACATAAATGAGAACCCATACAGGAACAAAATGAGCTATAGGGGAAAGCTTCATGTTCCACATCACCATTATGGCTAAAGGAAAAACAAAAACTTCTGGCTAGGTAACCCCAATATGTCCTCGGCAAGGCATGAGTTAGAAATCACCTGTTGATGCTCTGGAAGTGGGTAGACATCACCAAAAATGGTTACCCTTGCATTCGACAAGCCGCTCCATCCAGGAATCTACAAAAGCTAAAGCTTAACAAAATCCAAACGGAGAACAAATAGGTAAATTGACAGAGAGAAATTATCAAATCACTAACCTGCACAACAAGTGTGCATCTTGGATCAGCTAACAGATTCCGTGTGTGGATGGCCAATGGTGAAAACGAAAATATAGGATCTGCATGCCATCAGTGAATAGTAGAATGATCAGACAGAGGTCCAAAATACAGACCAAAAGAAAAAATGGTCAAATACAACGGACTATGATTCAAACTGTCAACCAACATAAACAAAGACAAAACAGACTATTATACAGCGTGTTGAATTTCATAGCATACATTTTATTGTTCAAGTTATATAAAGAAAAAGAACATAGTAAAAGGAGTGATCTATAGTTCTGTCTGATTGACCACATAAATTTTTACTTTACACGCAGATTTTTTTTTCTATTGAGGAAGAACTCTAAATTGTTTACTTAAATGAACATATTCAACAACTTACGCCCGGTAGAATCAGGTGCAAAATCAACCAGAGAACCAAATGGATATCCTTCTCGTCGATGGTGCATGCGCGACATTACGGTGCACAAATGAGCAAATCTAGCCTTGAATTAGGAAGCAAAATATATTTAGCAGCTTAAAAATAAATAAGCTACTAGCTATAATAAATCCTGTCCAGGTGAACAGAAATTATTGTATCTTTCAAAATCCAAAAAGAAAAAGAAGACAAAAGGTCTTTACCTGCTCCATAAGATTGCGTACAGCTAAGGCGGGTCGAGGTAACCCATGAGCTGAAGTTGCACTCTGCACCCCGCCAGAAATTGGAGTTCTAAAGAGCCCAGCTCTTGTTCCCCCTGCTGCTCCATTTGCAGGCAGGGGTGAAAGAGACATGTCTAAATTTACTGCCTCACTCACATTCTTCTCACTACTATCAGACTGATTTAAATTACCCTTAACAACAAGTAAACAGAAGACAGAATATGATCAGATGCAATTAGAAAAATGAGTGCAAACAAACATAAGACAGAAGACACATTAATACTGCAAAACGAATTTGGAGTGACCTAATTCTCCATTCTTAAAATTTACATATGTTTATAATACCACACCAAAGCAATAAATAATAGACCTGCTAAAGACTACCTTCTGATCAAGATTCTATTTACAAGCATCGTTTGAAGCTTAGTTAGATGTTAAAAATCATTTAACTACAAGACAAAGGATGGCAAGTTAGGGCTGGCGAGGCAATGTTCTATGGTCTCCGAGCTCACCTACTTTCTGAATGTAGTTTTGATAGTAGGTTTTGGAGGAATGCAATTGAAGGTTTTAAGTTGAATTCTCAGTCTCAATCATGGATTGTGAATTGGCTAAATGCACTTTGTCAAAGTTATCACTCCACTAGGTTGTCTTTCTGTTTTGGGCCAATCTGCGGTATCACCTATGGTTGGGAGGAACCTGAGAGTGTTCGGATATTGTTGCACTTGCAGCACTTTAACTAGTCCTTGCTGATGTTTTTTTCTTTCCAGTTACACCTCCTTGCTGATATAAATTGCTGGATCTAATTCTCGGAATATCAAGGATTTATCTCAAAATTGAAGTATACTTGACAGGTTTCTTTCTTCATAAAGATTGCTGATTTTTCAGCAAAACCAATAAAACGGTTCCAATACATGTCAAATTCCTCACTTTTCCTTTGATCACAAATGTCTTACTTTTCCTTTGATCACAAATGTTTAAAAGTTTTACACATAAAAAACTAAACGAACATCAACAACTAACATTCAATTTCCACCCATTTTCAGTTTCCACAACTGCATAGCAACCAAACAGGATTTATTAAAACTATAAAAAAAAAACGCACACACAATTGTAGATTATTATACAAACAAGCATATGTAGACAGTTGAGAAACACATACCTGAGACAAAGAGAGAATCTCTTCAGAAACTAAACCAAACCCATTATTCGAGGGCCTGACCTTTTCACTGTCACCGGACCCAGAAGCCTCCCCTGAGAGAGCTTGAACCCGCAGCCCAACAAAATGAGAACTTTGACTGATTTTGAGAAATCCACTTCGCTTATTTGGTGTTCTGACTGAAGTGGGGTTATGAAGAACTGGGTGCGTCTCCGGGACGAACGCAGAGCTGGCAAGGGCTTCCATGGAAGACTCAAAGTAAAGAGAAAGAGAGTGAATTTAGCGTTTGGCTGGGTGTACTGCAGTCTACAGAGGCAAAACTGAGTGCGTGATTTTGGGTTTAGAGATGGCGATTGTTTAGGTTCTCTTACGTTGTCTGCCCCCAAAAGCTGTAATTTTGTGCGTTTTTGGTAGTGGCATGCAATTCAGGTAAGTTTGGGCAGCGCCAACCCAAGGTGATAATTTGGATCCTAAAACTAGACCTAATAACAAATAAAGCTCAACCATGAATAATTTTATAATTATCTAGAAATAAAAAATAGTAATTCAATTTTATGATAAAGAGATTAAGTGGCCGTTTGGCATTGCTTATTTGGGATGATAAGTGATTTTTTAAAAAATTTGGAAAGTCCAGTCCGTTTGGTAAACTGTGAGAAAATCACTTATTGTTAAAAATTGATGTGAGAGAAAGCTATAAGGGAAAGCAGCTAATGAGGTGCTTTCATTTTCTGATTATGCATGAATCAGTTTTGAAGAGGCGCTGGGTTTAATGATTATGACACATTCATTTTCTGATTATGAAGAAATCAATGCCAACAATACTTTTAACAAAAAGTTTACCAAACGCCAAACTGATTTTCCTCACAGCTGATTTCTTTCACAGCAAATCTAACAGTGATTATTTTCACAGCACAGCAATGCCAAACTGGTCCTAAGAGTTGTAACTTGTATTGGAGTTGTAATGCACCAATTAATTACACTTGAGAAAGGTTTTTTATCCTCACTTTGTTATTTTGAGTGATTCTATCAAACACCCAATTAATTAGGTTTGTATTGCACCAATTTATTTGAGTTGGTATTGGAGTTGTGTTATAATTTTTTAGAACAAAGTTTTTTTTTTTCGGTTGTCCAAGTTAGAAGAAACTTACACACAAGGGAACCATGGGGGCTTGTACCGAGGACCACTTAGGAGCGCACTAAAAACTAAAGTCAATCCAATTAACACACCATTAATAAACAACCCTGAAGTTGGATAAGAGTTTTATTTTTTTTTCTTTGTTGTTACAAAAGAGGGTTTAGGGTTTAGACTCTAAGTATTTTAATTAAATTATGGTATATTTAACTTTTTTTTTTCTTCCATATCCTGTTGCTATTATTCTCTCAAGTATTAATGCATGCACACTTTCTCTATAATAACTCCAGCATGCACCAACTTGATCCTTTAGACTTTCATAGCTGGAATGCCTCCCCCCTTCACTCATTATGTTGGATCCAAAGTCAGTTTCAGCATGGGTGAGGCACATGGCTTAAAGGAGGAGACAAGGCTCAAAGCTGGCAGCTGCAAATCCTCCTGAGCATGGTTCAGTGTTGGACGGGCTAAGGACTCCACATATGTTCAATTGGGCTGAATTTTGGATATGTTATACTAGACACCCAATTGAACAACTTTCATGAAGATCTTCACCTCATCCGAGCCCCAGAGAATGCTGATCCAAGGCCAAGAAGTTGACCTACGAAACTGGGCTGGAAATGGGCTGTAGCCAAAATGTGTTTGTCTTTAAGCTCATATTCCTCATATGCCAATCAGCCCTTAACATGCATGGATTGCATCATTTCCTATCCAAAGTCATCATTGTTACCTAAATGTCAATTAACTGAAAGATAAACACAAAAAGGATTAAAAGCACAAGTTTAACTCAAAAACATAACCAAATCATAAGCTAGAAGGGTACAAAATGATATACAATTATGAACCGATCACAGATGCAAGTCAAAAAACTCAGCATTCATATGAGGTTGTTCAACCCATTGTAAGTACTTCTTGTATATAGATATATACCCCTATAAATTGCTTGGTTCTTTTTAATTATATATTCAAAGGATAATTATTTTCATTTTTGTTTGTAGAAGCATTTGGATAACTATTTTCATTTTATGTTTGTAGAAGCGAAGGGTTAAAATGGATAATAGATCAGTGATAATGGTCTGTAAAGGCAAGAAGGAAGCTCAACCTGGAGAGAACTGTGCTAAAATATGAATAGGGTTTGAATAATTTATGTTAATTGTATTCTTCTCCATAAAGAGATATATAGGAGTTTATAAGGGTGCTTTACAAGAAAATAGATACAATAATTAATTAGGAGATACAAGGATGTGTCAACTATATGAAACAAGGAAGTAAATCACCTAATAATTAACTCCACCTTCATCACCACCACCACCTCCACTCCATCACCACCACTACCACCACATGATTAGTACATAACACTTTCAACATCATGTCTATTTTAGTCATTATTTACAGTTACAACAATTTTATATTAAAATTTATCAAATGGTTTTGACACTGCTTTTTATACTAACAGCACTTTAAAAATATTGTTTACCAAACATGGAGCTACTTTACTTTACAGCTAATTATTTTCAAAGCACAGCATAAGCAACTTTTTTTTAAAGTGACAGCAATCCCAAACTGGACCTAAATCTCCTTGATTTAGTACTTGCAGTTTGCCCCTTCTCGGTGCTTGAAGTTCAATGGACGTCTATCTCCTAGGATTTAATCATTGATCTGTGGCGAACGTGGCGAACTTGAATGTGCTTCTTCTCCAAAATGCAAAGTAAAAAATACGTCTTATTTATGTACGTTGGAAATCTTGTAAGTTAAATGAAAAAATAAATTACTTATTTTCGTTTGAGTGTCTTAATTAAATTTCTCCAAAGCCCAAGAGCCCCAAGGCCCAAGGCCCAAGGCTCAAGTCTTGATTAATATAATTATTATCAATCGAAGCCAAATCCAAAGCCAACCCTATCAGCCCATCAGCCCAACTCTCCAATGTTAACCACACTTACCAAAGCATCATAGTGCTTTGTTTATAAACACCTTTATAAGAGTGCGGATTATCGATGTGAAATTTTCACAAAGGGCACCTGAAAGGATAAGCCTACAGAAAAATCCATATTTTTATTGTTGGCGCATTGTGGAAATATATTTGTTCTACATTAGCCCAACTCTCCAATGTTAACCACACTTACCGAACTATCATAGTGCATTGTTTATAAAGACCTTTATAGGAGTGGATTTTTGATGTGGGGTGTTAAAAAAGGGCACCTTAAAAGCTAAGCATACAGAGAAATCCATATTTATATTTTTATTGTTGGTGTATATATATATATATATATATTTAAAGAGTGTAGCCGCGCGGCTATACCCTATAAATAGAATATCTTCAAAGTATAGCCGCGCGGCTATACTCCGAAAATAGAATATTTTAAAAGTCCAGCCGGGCGGCTATACCCTTTAATATGTATCTCTCTTTTTTAATCACTTGGATTAGTAGTCATGTTTTACTTGGTGAATATTAAAGGAAAAAATGAATTATTATTTATTAAGTAATATAATTCATGAAGTTAATTAAAAAAATTATTACTTATTCACTAAATAAATAATAATTAAAATATAATTACTAATTTAACTAATTAAATGAGGCAAATATATTATTTAATTACTAACAATAAAATTTAAAAAAATTAATTAACCTAAACATCCTAAGTTTATATATATTTTTTAAATGACCTCTCCCGACGAAATTTCGTCGACACAGGTATGAGAGGGGTGATAGTATACTAAACTCACACACACTACACGGATGCTAGGACTTGAACCTAGAACCTTGGCTAAGGGAATAAATACTCCAAACCACAACATGAATGGGTCCTTTGCTGCTTTACCCTTATCTAACATATTGTTGGGATTAAAAGAAGATGATGCAATGAAATAAAACAACACAGATTTGGCCCAAATCCAAAACCAATATGCAGACCCAAACAATTGAATTTTGATTTAGGGACTGAATTCCAAATCCACACCCCAAATCATCCCTTATCCAAACATGCCCAAAATTAATCAATTCAATAGCAGATGCATCTGTACATTTATAAGTTCATTTGTCTTTAGAAAAGGTATGTAATGGGTCGAATCAGAGGTGTGTATGCCATTCTCATCCCCATTCCCGTTTAGCTTTTTTCCCCATTCCCATTATGATAAAATACCAAATCTCCCCGATTTGGAGTGGAATGTTCATTCCCCCTTCCCGTAATATCCGTTTGTATTAAAAAAGAAAAAAGAAAAAAGAAAAACATATCCCCGCATTTAATTCTCATTCAAAACGTAATCTCTACGAATTCATTAGGTTGCCCTATTGCTACCCTATATAAAGCATAGACTCTCCACTTAAGAAAACTCGCAAATGCATCATCTTCTTACTAGTTTGCATTTTTCATTACGTTTTCTCTAAGAGCCATGTCTGGAAAGAAGGTGAAACTAACCTACATCAGTAATTACTCGACTAGAGAAACAACATTCAAGAAAATGAAGTAGGATCTGATGAAGAAAGTGAGTGAACTCAACAACATATGTGATGTTCCAGCATGTGCCATAATTTAGAGCCTATATGATACTCAACATGAGATTTGGCCATCCTCTCTCCAAGTGCAACGCATTCTTAAAAAATTTAAGACCATGCCGGAGATGGAACAAAGCAAAAAGATGGTGAACCAAGAAAGTTTTCTAAGGCAGAGGATTGAGAAAGCCAATGAACAACCAAAGAAACAAAGGAAGGAGAATAGGAAGAAGGAGATGACAAGGGTGCTATTCTAGAGGTTGACTGGTAAGTCCCTCCACAGTTTGAACATGGTTTCTTTGAATGATCTGGGTTGGCTGATTGACCAAAGCTTGAAGGACATTCGCATCAAAATTAAGATTCTGAATGAGGAGGAGGAGAACAAACAAGTCCAAGTAGAATCAACAGGATTGCTAGTGCCTGCAACAACAGATCATTGAATAGAGAGGTAGGCTTTCGAAACTAACAATATAGAGACGATGCATAGGCATCCATGGTTCATGGGCATGAAGAACCCACAAGATCAGCATATGGGGGTGGGGGTTGGTGGTGGAGATGAGATGATTATACCATTTTGGGGTCAAAATCACATTAATGCTATTTGGTCTAATAATGCCTTTTTCCCTTGAACTATTTAGTATTTGTTTCTAAGTAGTCTCTTTGTACTGGCCAAAAGTGTAAAGTGATTTCTTTGATAATTTTGAATTCATAATTTAGGCCGAAAGGTCGTCAATCACAAGGACCAATATAAATACAAATAATTATATAAGGTTAATACAAATATGGAAGCGCGGTAACCACAAGAGGTTAATCCAAATATAGAGGAGTTCACCAGCAACAACAAGCGCACAAGATAT